AACTTGTTAAACCAGGATTAGTTGTCCTTCATGACCCAGTATGTTAAGATATTAAACCCATGAATATTTCCTTTATGAATCACACACAACTGCCAACTTGTTAAACCAGGATTAGTCGTCCTTCATGATCCAGTATGTTAGCATATTAAACCCATGAATATTTCCTTTATGAATCACACACAACTGCCGACTTGTTAAACCAGGATTAGTTGTCCTTCATGACCCAGTATGTTAAGATATTAAACCCATGAATATCTTTATGAATCACACACAACTACTGACTTGTTAAACCAGGATTAGTTGTCCTTCATGACCCAGTATGTTAAGATATTAAACCCATGAATATCTTTATGAATCACACACAACTACTGACTTATTTAACCAGAATTAGTTGTTCTTCATGACCCAATTTGCTAGCATATTAAATCCATAAATATCTTTATGAATCACACACAATTACTGACTTGTTAAACCAGGATTAGTTGTCCTTCATGAGCTACTAATCCTGGTTTAACAAGTTGGCAGTTGTGTGTGATTCATAAAGGAAATATTCATGGGTTTAATATGCTAACATACTGGATCATGAAAGACAACTAATACTGGTTTAACAAGTCAGTAGTTGTATGTGAATCATAAAGATATTCATGGGATTAATATGCTAGCATACTGGGTCATGAAGGACAACTAATCCTGGTTTAACAAGTCAGTAGTTGTGTGTGATTCATAAATATATTCATGGGTTTAATATCTTAACATACTGGGTCATGAAGGACAACTAATCCTGGTTTAACAAGTCAGTAGTTGTGTGTGATTCATAAAGATATTCATGGGTTTAACATCTTAACATACTGGGACATGAAGGACAACTAATTCTGGTTTAACAAGTCAATAGTTGTGTGTGATTCACAAATATAATCATGGGTTTAATATGCTAGCAAACTGGGTCATGAAGGACAATTAATCCTGGTTTAACAAGTCAGTAGTTGTGTCTGATTCATAAAAATATTCATGGCTTTAATATGCTGACATACTCGTCCTTCATGATCCAGTATGTTAGCATATTAAACCCATGAATATTTCCTTTATGAATCACACACAGTTACCGATTTGTTAAACCAGGATTAGTTGTCCTTCATGACCCAGTTTGCTAGCATATTAAATCCATGAATATCTTTATGAATCACACACAATTACTGACTTGTTAAACCAGGATTAGTTGTCCTTCATGACCCAGTTTGCTAGCATATTAAATCCATGAATATCTTTATGAATCACACACAATTACTGACTTGTTAAACCAGGATTAGTTGTCCTTCATGACCCAGTTTGCTAGCA